CAACCAACCAGAGGAGGTGAGATTTGAACCCAGGTCTTTCTGTCTCCTAAGTTTATTTTGCTCCCCACCATACCCCGTGGTTGTTAGGTCCTCAAGCTTGGAGGAAAGCAGCATTAAAAAATTTTTTTTTCTCTTGATCCACTGAGTTACATTCTGCTCAGCTCAACTTTGCAGATCTAGAGGGGCCAAAAGGAGGGACCTCCTCATGCCATGCTTGGGAGAGAAGCCCCTGCTCCAGCCCAAGCCTGCCCTTTCTGGGTAGTCTGGGATGGGATGATTTGAGATGGTGGTTCTCCAGCTTTGGGAGCATGGATGGGACGCAGAGGACATGGATATGTTGCTCTCCTGTGCCTCTCACCAACGGTGAGGGCAAATCAACTGTTCCTTTGATGCTCAGTTTCTTCATCAGTGAAATGGGGCTAATATGCCTACCCAGAGGCTTTACTGCAGTTAATAAGAGACGTAAAAGTGTTTGCCAGCTGAAAGCTCTATGCAAAGATAAAAGAGGGGGTTATAATTTCCAGTGAGAATATTTAGGGCCCCACAAGTTAGTTGCTTCCCTGCAGGACCAGATGAAGAAAGAACTCATGTCCAGAAGTTTTAAACCCATGTCCAGGACCAACGCCAAGCTTTTCCATCCCCAAGCCCTCTGCTCCCTCCCACCCTGTGAGCTCTATAAGCCAGGAGCAGGGAGGAGACTCCAATATCCTCTAGTATTGGATGCCATGCACCTTGATGGCAAGAGGTGGCACCTGTTTCAGCTCCAAACTTTCCAGCTTCTAGCACAGCGAGGGCCATTCACGTGCAGACGTTGAGTGAATGAATGAATAAGTGCGTGAGTGAACGAAGACATGCCAGGGCCGAAAGCAGGTCCAGCCTCCACCTCCTGACCCAAGGCTCGCGTCTGAACCCCCTAACCTTCTCAGTCCCCCACCCTTCCCTTTTCTCAGCAGTGCACGACACCAGGGGTACCAAAAAGGCAAACTGGACTTTATTATAAAGTTGGCTACAAAGTCACCGCAGCACCACGAGGTGGCCGTCTGGACAGGCCCAGGCGGTCTGGCGGCCGGGTGAGTCCCGCACCAGGTACACGCACTTGTGCAAGCACACGTGTGATGGCAGGTCTGCCTTCCTCCATCGGAAAGGAACGTAGCGTCTCTTCGCGCCCCTCACCCCAGGCGCGGGGCGCAAAAGTCACAGGAAGGGCCGCCAGGGCGGCAGAGTCCATCGGAATTGAAATCCCGTTACTGGTGTGTAGAGAATTCTACGTGGGTGTCAAGAGCCCCTCAGGGCACAGGCCGGCCCAGGTGGGCCCTGCCTTTCCTCCACCAAGGCCCAGGGGTAGCTTGGCCCCCAGGAGTGGAGAACTAGCCCAGGCCAATGGGGCAGCGCGGTGGGGAAGTGAGACTCCCCCATTCTCCGCTTGAAATCCCATTCAAGGAAACTCACTACGAGTGAATACAGATTGAAATGGAAGCTGGGATCGCTCGAAGTCTCTTGATTTTAAAAAGAAGCTCCCCTCCCTTGCCCTCCCACCTCCCCCCCCCCAAATCCTACAGGGCCTGGGGAATCAGACATATCCCCCTCTGGCCCCCAGAATCCCCCCAACAGTCCCGGGGGGGTGGAGAGCGGCTCCACGTCTTGATGACAATATGCCATACTTGACGACGTTAAGTCACAGACTTATTCAAAACGTTGGTTCCCCTCCACTTCCATCTGCAGAGAGAGAGAGACAGAGAGAGGACAGTCAGTCAGGCCTATTGGGAAGCAGCGTCCCTGGGCTGAGGATGAAGTGCAGCGTGGCACAGAGTATGGGTTTCAGATACCAATGACTGGATGATCCCCAGAGGCAATTTGGCTGGATGGGACGAAACTATGGCCGTAGTTTTGGGAATGAAGGGACCGTAAGCAGGTAACTACTGAGACGGAGCTGGGGCTGAGCCCATCCTCTTTCTTTCCCCAATCTGTATAAACGCACTCTGTATCCCCTCTAGGAGGCAAGAATACTGAGACAAAGCTCCAGTTCCTCTTCTATCACTTTGTTGTGTGACCTAAGGAAAGTTTCTTTAACTCTGGGGCCTTGACTGTCTTCATCCATAAAATAAGGTTGTGATAACTGATCTAGGTCCCTCACAGAGCTAAGAAGCACGAATCTTCACCTCTTTATCTAGGATTCTCTAGCACTCTAGCTCACATCTCAACCTCTGCCTGCCGGGTCCACTTGTCCAAAACTTCCATATTAAGATTTTTATTTTTTCTTATCCTCACTGCTACCCTTGCTGATGTCATCCTCTTAATACAACTAAGGTATAGAGAGTGGACCTGACTCACCCAATTCCACCCAGAGTCTCACCGGCAGGTCAGGGACCTGAGTTTTTGGACATTTTGGCTGGACTCACCTTCATGGAAGCTGTCTTGAACTCGGCTCTGGAGTTGATGCAACTCATCAGTAAACCCATCGTAGGGGAATGCTGAGACACCTGTCTCAAAGGCGGTTTCGTATGTGGCCAGGTCCTCCAGGAAGCTGTGGTCTTCTGGGGACAGGTTGTTGCAAGGTGATGGGGCCCCTCCTGGGCCATCGGTCTCAGGATCCTCTGAACCCCATTCCCCATTGGGGTCTGAGGTAGAGAGATCCATGAAGATATCTTCCACGGGCGTCTCTTCCAGGAATATGTTGTCAGGGTCAGCCAGGAAGTCCAGCTCCTGGCATTTCCAAGGTTTCAGGTCCAGGCTGAGCACAGGGGGGCCAGCCCCCGACAGGGATAGGTTGGAGTCCAGAGGCTCCAGCCCTCCGAGTGGCTCCAGCCCGCCAGTGCCAGCATCAGCTGAGAAGGGCCTGTCCATGCCCTGAGCCAACTGGCTAATCTGCTGGATGAGACGGTCTATCTCATTCTGTTCCTTCTCAGAGTAGTGGAAGAAACTCTGCTTGACTGGAGAGGCCTCAGGTGTGAGCAGGCCTTCAGGCACCAGGGGGACATTCACAGAGAGGGGGCCCCGGAGCTGGGCTAGGGCCAGGAGTGTGCAGTCCCCATTACCAGGGCTGCTAGGACTTGGAGGCAACTTCTCATAGAGAAAACTGCATCCCTCCTGGGCGAAGTAAGTCTTGGTGGGGTTGGGGCTCAGTTGCTCTGGGAAAGTTTGGCTGGGACTGTTCAGGTGTGCTTGGAATGCTGTGCTGGGAGGAGTCAGCTGCTCATGGGCAGGGCTGCCCAAAGGCTCTGGGAAGGTGGCAGTGCTGGGAAGCAGCTGATCTGGGAAGGTGGAGGTGCAGGGAGTCAATTGGTCTTCATAGCTTCTGGCTGAAGTTTCTGTCAACTGACCTTGTAGTGGGCTAGTTAGTGGATCCGGGAAGGTTGCACTGCTGGGCGTCAACTGATCAGAGAAAGTTGCAGTGCTTGGAGTCAGCTGTTCTTGGAGAGAGTTGGATGGGGTGGGGAAGTGGGTCTGGAAGGGCTCATGGAGGCTGAAGAGGAAGGCACAGCCTCCTGGCTGGCGAGGTGTGTAGGGGGGAGTGCACACAAGATCCTTGCTCAAGTCTGCTTGGAGAGAAGGTTCAGGCCCAGAAGGGAATGTCAGGTAACTGAAGTCCAGCTCTTTGGAGGGTCGGGGAAGCTCTTCTGATGCTGAGACAACACCGAGTTCAGGAGCGCTGAGGAAACTGGTGCTTCTGGGAGCCCCCAGGGCTGGGGTGAAGAGTGGGTTAGCACTGGAGCACTGCTCCTGGGAGAGGATGTTCTCAGGGAATGAGGGCAGCACGGTTGGGGTGCCCAGGACATAAGCTGCCTGGGTGTCTTCGGAGTTCAGCTGCTGGCGGAGGCTCCAGGCTTCCGTGTCACTGGAGAGGACAGAAGAGGCCATCCGTAAGAGTTTGGTGTTCACTCCTGGAACACCTCCCCAATTTATGTCTCCTTCATGGCAACCTCAGCTGCCACCCCAGGTCCCTCCCTTACAGCTTACCTGATTGGGTAGTTATTGGCAGTAATGGGGCCCTCCAGACCTTCTGAGTATAACAGGCAGTAAATCCATGCCCAGCCTCCAGGCTTGGCCTGCAGTCTCACCACCATCTCTGCCTGAATATCTCCACTCTCAGCCACT